TCATGCGCATGGACTCCTTCTCCAAGGTCCTCATCCCGGGCTCGCGGATGGGCTGGGTCGTGGCGTCGGAGCAGATCATCGAGCGCTACCAGCGCCACGCCGAGGTGGCCAGCCAGGGCCCCAGCGGACTGTCGCAGGTGGTCCTCTGGAAGCTCCTGGACGACACCTGGGGCCACGAGGGCTACTTCCAGTGGCTCATCAACCTCCGCGAAGAGTACACCCACAAGAGAGACAAGATGCTCGCAGCGTGCGAGGAGCACCTCCCACAGAGCCTGGTGAGCTGGACGCCGCCCGTCGCTGGCATGTTTGTAAGTAACCCCTGTCCCCTCCGAAATGTCGAATTATTCAAGTTCAAACCCCCCCTTCCCCCCATTGTCATCTTGTTTTGTTAATATAGCTTCAGATGTGGCTTACCGTCGACCACACCCAACACCCCTCTGGCGACGCAACCGACCTGATCAAAATCGAGGAGGACATCTTCAAGTCATGCATCGAGAACGGCGTACTGGTGGCCAGGGGCTCCTGGTTCCTCACCGAGAAGGACAAGGCCCTGCAGGGACTGTATTTCCGTGTGACGTTCGCTTCCGCGAGCGGGGAGCAGATGAGCGAGGCAATCGGCCGGTTTGGCGAGGCTGTGAAGAAGAGCTTCGGTGTCAACTAGGACCTCCAAATCTCTTTCTTCTCCTCAAGCATGGGATCGGTGGAGAGTATATATCCCAGTTTGGTTCGAGTTTGATAACTCATGCATGTATTTGAGGTTTACGCATTGTCTCTCATGAGGTGTTCATTTGATGGGTTGCATTAGAATGACAGGCATAATAAATATCCAAATTTGCATCTTTTATGTGAAAGCCATGTTCATATAGACATCCTCAGGATCATAACTCATTCCCATATTTACACGACGTGAAAAAAAGCAAGGCAATTTCATTCATGTTATTCAATCCTTGGCATCCCAAAAGGACACCATGACTCCTTGTGCAGGCCCCAAGGTAATGTCAGTCTTGAGCCGCGGCACACCGCCATCGAGTTCCTCCATGTGGCTGGTCACGCGCTCGAATCTCTGAAACAGCCGGCTGAGGACATAACTGGTCTCCGTGAGGGCGAACTGCTGCCCGATGCAGATACGCGCGCCCGAGTTGAAGGGGATGTAGTAGTGAGGCTTGGGGTACCAGTTCTCCCAGCGCTCGGGGCTGAACACACCGGGGTCGGCGAACTTCTCCGAAACTGGCGGGTAGAGCTCCTCGCGGCGCTGCATGATGAGAGGAGAGTATGCAATTGGGGTGTCCTTGAGGACGGCGATCGGCTCGGTACCGTCTGGGCCACCACCCCGGGGAATGGTGGTGTCCTTGAGAGCGAGGCGTACATTGAAGGGCACAATGGGGTAAAGGCGCAGCGTCTCATTGACGACAGCCTTGAGGTAAGGCATGTTCTTCAGGTACTCGTAGGTTGGCAGGGCGTCCTTGCCCATGGTGCTCAGGATCTCGGCCCGCAGCTTCTTGACGGCCTCCGGGTGCCGCGCAAGCTCGTAGATGGCCCAGGAGAGCGTCGACGCCGTGGTGTCGCGGCCGGCGAGGAGGATGGCAACAAGCTGGTCCCTCAACACTTTGCGGTCGCGAGTGAAGCCGGCCAGGGCATGGAGAAAGGTGTATCCCTTGTCAGACTTGTTATGCTTTTCAAGCTCCTCGGGGCTAAGTCGAAGGGTGCGCTCAATATAGATGTTGACAAATCGGTTGATCGTTTCAAGGCCGGCCCAATATGTCGGCTTTGGGATGACTTTGCGGAAGAATGCTGCGCGGGCTATGATATTTTGCACGCGCTGGACCTCGTTGAATGCATCGGCAAACTCATTTTTAGGTGTCCTACAAGAAACGTTCGTCCCTCGTGTTAGCATTGAGAAACAGAGACGAAGTGACAAGAGCAAACAAGAGACACATACGAGAGGGACATGGTGTCCTTGCCCAGAAGGAACTCAGTCGTGACATCCAGTGTATAACGAAAAAAGAGATCAGAGATATCAAACACCCTGCCATTGCCACTCCCAGGCACAACAGCCTGATCATGGCTGCTCAGAGGTCCGCAATTGTCAATAGCACGGAAGAGAATCTTCATGTGTGACTCGAAACAGTGCAAGTCGCTCACACGGTCTCGAGTGAACTGCGGTCGGATAAGCTGGCGACTAGCATGCCACTGCTCGCCATCGGTCGTGAAGATGCTGTCCCCAAGGAAATCAGACCATTCCTTGTGAAACGGTTCGCCTTTACCAAAGTCGTGAAATTGGGTTGCCAAGATAGCCTTGATGTTCTCCGGGTCGGCAGTGAAGACGACTCTCTTGTCGAGGACTCGAGCTTCCACCGTCCAGGTCTTGTACTTGAGGAAGAATCCGTCCCGCCAATGCTCAAGGTTTCTGCTTTTCATGGTTTCCAGGACTGCGACATACAGGATGTCAAGCCCTTGAGGTTGAAGGATAGTCTGTCAGCCGGGGGAGCCACACACAGCAACAGATTGTTCTACGAAGAGACCAGGGACTACAAACCAAAAGGCAGATATGATGGCACGCGAAAGCCATATTTCCCCAGCCGCTTAATACGAAGATGCTCATTGACACGCAAGACAACATGTCGGAGTAACAGTGCGGCAGCCAAGAAACCGAGCACCGACTTGACAGTGAGGTGTTCAGCCACAGTCTCCACGATGGCCATGGCGGGCAATTGATCTCAGAACCGCTATCAAATGTACAAAAAGGGGATACGAGGCTGTCCAAGGTAGACAATTGGGATGTAATAGAGATCTTGCTAAGCCATACGAGACCAACACATAATGCTACGGCAGGGTGGAGGAGATGCTACCCAGGTTTTATAACTTTTGGCAACCCGCGTGCGGCTGGTCCATCCCGACCGCATCATGCGGGGACCACCGGCGCTCCAGCTATCAACATGATACATGCCGTTCGGAGAGCGCGTGGAGACTCTGAGCAATTGGACACCCTCAATGGCTGAAACGCTGGGGCTGGACACCCAACTGTGACCTGCGAGGGTGTCCGGCAGATGCGTGTATGCGGGGAAGGCCTGGGCATGCCATCATACCCTAACCATGATGGATGGCATCATGGATGGGACGAGAGGGCAGCCGAGGCAGAAGTTTGTAAAGGGCGGTTGCGAATTGGCGGACGGGCAGATGGTGGGGACCGGGCTGAATTAACTAGGCGACCGGGAGAGATCGCATCGGGGAGATTGAGAGCCCCGAGAGCAAGGATGAAGGGTGGTGACGAGAATACGCCGCCAGCCGTGAAGCCTCGTGGCGACGATGCTTTGTGCTATTCTGCAGATGTCAAAGCTCGCTCCCGTCGGACTCTCGGCTGGGCACCGCGACGTGGATACCGCAATCAGGAACGCGCCTTTTGCTCTGCCGTGGGGTAAGTGGGCTTCAGCCAGCGGTTAATATCAAATGATGGTCCAGTTCGTAATTCGCTCCTCCGTTCGGGATTGTCACCTGCTCGAAGCATCCGGCAGGGGCGGAGAGAACACACTGATGCTCATTCCTACGTTGGGAAACAACTCTGCAGCTACTTGAGCGAGGGGACGGATCTTTCACCACCACTTTTAGAAGCCCTTTGTCCGCTGTCTTTATTCATCTGTCTAAGTTTATTGAGTGGGCAGTATGCAAGGGTCCCTAGTGTAAGTAGGTAGACACATTAATATTCCCAGTACCCATGAGTCTCTCCAGTTCGAATTCTATTGAAGACGGTCACGGAGCTACAGCACAATAAAAGAACTTTTGCTCGCTCAGCTGCCAATCAGATTGCTCCGGAATCTCAACCCGGAGTTTGCGCGTAATGGCTCCTTGCGATTGTTTCCGCGAGATTGATTGTCTCGTACCAATCGAGATCTAGAACCTTGGTGCTGAATGGTCAGATTCTGCCGTCATTTCGCCATGGCTGCTGCAATAATTAAGCAGTTTTAGGTACTTGTGTTGCTTTCTCATACAACAAAGCCTCCGAGTGTGATGGTTATTGAGCCCCGCCTCCGATCGACACAAGTATCGCTACGATCAGTTTTGCTTTTGCGGTGTTCATGTTGCTTAAGCATTTCCACGAGCCTTGCGACTCGGTAACATTTTCACCTCTATCACAATGCATTTTGGAAACATGATAGATACCTTAACAGTTTCGACTATCCGTTTGTGTAACTACTCAATAAAGAGAATAGATTCAAAGAGAGCCAAAAGACAGCTTCCTAGCTACACAATACCAAGCTGCAAAAACACCAACAATACGTCACACATGAAACCTTTATTCGCCCTAATTTTGTGACATGTCGCGTGTCACATTCATGAACAGACAGCGAGGATTGTCCTGGCAAACAGAACCTCCAGGGTAGTGGCGACAAGGACTCGAGCGGAGCAGCACGTGACGCTCTGACACTTGCAGCTGCAAGCCACCCGCTGTTGAAGAACAGAAGTGACGTTTGATTCGTCACACAATACATGCCATGGACAAGACGTAGGATCTTTCGCATTGTAGTCATCGCAAAAAAGAGCCTTTCCTCCCTTCCACAGGAACATGGCCTCTTTGAAGCAAGCATAGCCTCCTAGCCACCTCAAACACCGAGAAGGGTGGCCTAGCACGCTTAGAAATGACCGTATCACGTGACTACGGCTGACTCGTCTTTGTCGGCATCAAATCAAGAAAGGCTAACAAAGCGACACGAGACAAGGCTTTGTCAACCCGAAGCTCAATTCTATGCAAGGCTTCCAGCTTCCATCAACCTCAACATTTTAATTCCGACTGGACCCAACACAGCGCACCTTCGACTCATCGCACTTCTCTATTTTGCCCACCGAGTGCTGAGAGTCAGAATCACGCAGCAAGTCAAGTTTTTTGCCTCCTACCCGTATTATCAGCGACAGCTCTACGCGTCGAGACGACGACGTTCGAGGCCGCAGGGCTATCGTCAACACCTCACATACCGAGTCAGTCCCTACTACTTGGCGACGCGACCATGACTGTCGAAGTAGCGCTTAACACGCCGTTGGCCGACGCTCTCAACGCCGCGATCCAGCCGAAGCTGGTAGAGGCAGGATGGGGGAACGGCGACGGCAATGAGGCATCGCTTGCCGAGCTGATCATCCTGATGCTTGCCAATGGAAATCAGGAGGAACAAATCGCCGCAGAGCTCGCAGGCGATCTGCTAGGATTATCGCCAGAGGACTCCAGCGCACGCGACTTCGCCAGATGGCTGTTTGAGCAGATCGACTCAATCAATGGGCAGTTGAATGGAACTTCCCAGGCGGGCAAAGACCAGGCCGATGAAAGTTATTCTGGAGAAATGGATACCGATATGGGTTCCAATGATGCCACCGGATTGAATGCGTATGTTCCCCTCCTCACCGCCAGACTCAGTATTATTTACTAACAGAACCCCAGTCCCACAGGACCACGATCTATGCGAAACGGGAACACCAGAGGCGGAAGAGACAGGCGCATGATGGGGAACAACGCCAGACCCAACGACAGAACGGCAGACTCAGGCCTCCACCGTGTTCGTAGACAAACCGGCAACGAGCGCATCAACACACACACTCGCGGCGGCGCGCAGGCAGGTCCGCGAAATGGGCAAGGCCGGTTCCCCCGAAACAACAATCGGGCAGCAACAGTCCAGCGCGGTCTGGATAACTGGGGCAACCCGGATTTCAATATGATGGGCCAACCCGACTTCAACATGTTAGCCAACCAGGACTTTGGCAGCATGCCTCCTCAGTTATCCGAATTCTTGAAACAACAAAGTCAATTCATGAAAAATATGACCGAGCAATATAATAACACATTCCAAAATGGGTCTTATGGACAGGGCAAGCCGTTGTCTGATCGCGTACAATATCCCAACAAGAAAAACCAACACCAACGGAGAGCTTTCGGGCAGAAGCAGGATGGGGCAAACGGCGAACCCTCTGGCGAGGGGGAAGATGTGGACATGTCTGGCAACAAGCGGGAACCGGCAAACCCCGAAGAGAGTGTATGCAAGTACAACCTCAACTGCTCCAACAGGGAGTGCAAGTTTGCCCACCAGTCCCCAGCCGCGCCTCATGGTGCACCTGTAGACGTCAACGACGTCTGCACGTTTGGTGCTGCATGCAAGAACCGCAAGTGTGTGGCTCGGCACCCGTCACCTGCGACAAAGCTCGCCCACCAGAGCGAACAAGACTGCAAATTCTTCCCAAACTGCCAGAACCCAAGGTGCCCGTTCAAGCATCCATCGATGCCACTCTGCCGAAACGGCGCAGACTGCACCACGCCGGGTTGCAAATTCACGCACGTCAAGACGAAGTGCAGATTCAACCCTTGCTTGAACCCCAACTGTGCCTTTGCGCACGAGGAGGGTCAGCAGGGAGGATTCAAAGATAAGGTCTGGGTTGCAGACTCGGCGAAGGAGCATGTCAGCGAAAGGAAATTTGTAGATGGCGACGAGAACACGGAGTTTGTCAAACCCGAAGACGAGGGCTTCCCAGAAAGCAGTAAGGAGGAGCTGGATGCGGATGTCATCGTCTGAGCTGAGTTTGGATATATTGGGGATGAATGAGACTGATACCACGGAGGACGGGAGGGCACAATCTCGGCCAAAGCAAAGAAAGAGCGAATTCTGAAGGGTCGCCGAGCGGCACCTAGGCTTTTCAAAAAAGGAAAAAGCAATGGTTGTATGATTGCATGGTTATATCATGTGTTTCTTTTCATTCACGAGGGGGGCGTTCCGGAGTGGTGAGCTTGACGCAGAGAAGTCAAGGTCGTATGAATACTTAACCTATGGAATTATCGTAATTACCTAGATAGATTGCCAATCAAGGCTGGCAGCTCAAACGTTATGAGCCTGCTATCGTTCCTCTGATGGACAAATCAATCTGCTCCCCTCCCTTATTTGATCCTCGTGTTGATATTCATTGTAGTGGGGGAAAGCCGGATCCGCGGCGAGCGGTGGAGTGGCGGCATTCCGTGATGTTGGTGGGAAGACCCCTGTAGACAGGTACTTTTAGCGCCCGCCAGCTTGACGTCTGATTCTGGCCTTGTCCACTTCAACGCCGTGCCTCGAGCTCGCAATGAGGCATCAACGCTCGCAATGATGAGCCCGCTGCGGACACAAGCCTCTCGCAGGGCTCTGCAGAGCTGCTGCTGCCGTTCCCGGCCCGTCCTGCCCCGTCACGCGACTCAATTCCTGCCCGCGCAGTCCCGATCGTTCCACCCTCCGGAATACTCACCAAGCGACGCAAAGGACTTTGATCGAAAGGTTCGGGAATTGGTCAAGTCCTCGCCCGTGCCCGAGAATGCGAAAATTGCCATTGTCGGTGCTGGCCTCACCGGCCTCACCACTGCGTACTACCTTGCCCAGGACTTGCCTCCAGGCTGCAAGATTGTCGTCTACGACGGCCAGAATCGCGCGGGGGGTTGGATTCGATCAGAGACGCACTCGGTTGATGTAGGGGGCACCAAGTCCCAGGTCCTGTTTGAGCGAGGTCCCAGGGCCATATCCCCCGGTGACTCGCTGCATGGCCAACAGGATCGCCTTGTGTTATACGACTTGGTGAGGCTGCCTGGACTGTCCTTTCGTCATCGATACGTTGTGAATCTTGCTAACGGATATGAAATGTAGTTGCTGAATCACGGTCTCATAGCTTATCCCGGCCGATCAAACCTGGCACGATTTATTTACAGCCCGCAGGGACATTTGGTGAATTTGTCAGGCATACGCCTCGACCCATCCACATTCGAAGAGCCTATTTACAGATTGATGCTCAAGGGAGGTCTATGGTGGGCTCTGAAGTGGCGCTTCAGAAGACCGGGCTGGTTCCCCGAGGATGACGTCTCATTGGGAGAGTACGTGGAGCGAGCGTCCGGGAGTCGACAACTGGTTGAGGATGTGGCCTCTGCCGGAGTCCACGGCATCTGGGGCGGTGACATCGACAAGATCAGTGCCATGAGCGCTCTGGGACTCCATTTTCAATCGGCGAACATGCCATATTGGCAGGCCCATGACCTTGGTCTACGCGTGACTGAGCAGAGGTTCGTGTCAACATTCCTCAAGGACCGTCCTTACGTCCAGACAATGTATGCCATGAAACCGCCAGCTCTCGTGAACTTTGGAAAGTTCGGCCTGGAATCGCTCCCGATTGCATTATCGAATTCGCTTGAATCCGATAGCAGAGTCGAGATGAGACTGGGAAATTCTATCAACGGGATTGAGTATGACCCTGGCGAGAGGAAGGTCAAGGTAAGAATTTACAATTAGATATGCTTGTTTTTTTCGCATCTGACTTCCTTCCCCCTCTTAGATTACAGATTCAAACCAACAAACCGAGGTCTACGACAAAGTCATCTCCACCACCTCTGGCCAGCATGCATACCAGATGACTGGCGGCAAACTAAAATATCTCGAGGACTCACACTCAGTAAACATTATGACAGTCAACCTCTGGTACCCCCAAGAGACCCTTGTCCCCGCCGGGCTCGGCTACCTCATCCCCAAGTCCTGCCCACCAGAGCTGAACCCCGAACGCGCTCTGGGCGTCTTCTTCGACAGCAATGTGGCCGAGCAGCAGCAGAGGCAGGAAGGCGGCACCAAGGTCTTCGTCCTTATGGGCGGACACCAGTACGACGGGATGGAGCCCCCATCGGAGGCCCTGGCCATCGAGCAGGCCAAGAGCCTGCTCCACCGCCACCTGGGTATCCCCGTCGACCTGCCCTGCTACGCCGTCTCCAACCTGGCCAAGGGCTGCCTGCCGCAGCACCACGTCGGCCACCACAGGCGCATGGCCAACCTCTCGTACGAGCTGATGGACAAGTTTGAGAACAGGCTCGCGCTCATCGGCGGGTCCTACTCGCGGCCCGGCGTGGCGAGCGCCCTCCGCGCCGGCTTCGACATGGCACATGCGATGACGAGGGAGAACTTCTACGATAATGGCGTAACGCGCTTCAGCCATAAAGAGGTCTCGGATCCATACTTTCCCTTTGGGGAGAAGGCATATCTCGACAGGAACACATGATCTTGTTGATTGTATACTATGTAGAGAATAAAACGATTTGATGTTGCGTGAGGCTGGACTCACACACTACTTGTACTATCTAGAATATCCCTAGGCGTCGCTCACATAAAATTTATATACTCCGATTAAGCCACGTTCCTTATACTCTCCTGAAACGGAGGTCTTCTGTGACAATACCCTCGCTGGCCAACGATCACCCATACATAAATATATATCCCAAGTACTTGATCTCGACCTGCGTCGGAGGTGAGATGCCTTGCTCTTCTTCGTTGAACAAAAAGTATATCTCCAACAAGAGGCAAAATCAATAGATGTGACTGGGACGTGTCGGTCAGGGTTCACAAACTCCTTAATGTCATTGTCCTAACCTGAAATCTTCATGGGTGGAAGAATCGGACTCACTTCTAGCCTTTTCAGAGCCAGAATCAGCCGAGATTTGAGGACGAGAGTAAGACGAGATTGGTTTTTGAATTAGAGGTGCGGGAACGCCTTGGGTATGTAGTAGGTTCCTGCCAGGAATACCTCGGACTAGAGTAATGTTTATAGGCGGCTGAACCATTGTCCTGCTGGTCGTTGTGGATCCATATTGTGGTGAATCCGGGCTGACTGAGAATGATCATCGGTTCTTCATTGAATCATCATCAGTAGCGATGATCCCACGCTCCTCGTCATGCTTCGCAAGTCGTGGTAGCATGGCTTCCCCATCCTGGTCCTCAGGAAGGTCATCGGGTGCAACTAGCTCGGGAGACACCTCAACATTGGTAGTGGCGATGTCCGTGTTTATTGTTGCAGCAGCTTGGTTATACTCCATATCGTTGGCTGCACGTCGCTCGGTCCTGGCCATGGCCTCTTTAAAATTGACAAGGAAGTCTTCTCGACTTCCTTCACCGAACTCTTGGCCATATGCAAGGACTGTAGGGAGTCACAGTTACATGTCTCCGTCATCTCAATGATTGCTCTACCAATAAACTCAACAGCCGTCTTAAAATCTCGGACCTGAATCTCATCCAGACGGAGTAGGCTCTTATCAAAGAGGGAGAGGGTGTGTGATGGGGATAATAGTGCATGTCTCCCACAACTTTGAGGTTCTTGACTCTCCGTGATGGCTACCCGCAAAACTCCCACCTAAAAAACAAATTCAGAAAAATCTTCCCCCCAGGAGCTGGATAATCTCAATGCCCCAGAGAAACGAAGATACCATACAACCAAGGTCCGACTGCTAAAAGAACAAATCGAGACGCCCTGTGGTGCGGAGGCTGGATGGCCTCGCTTCCAGTATTCCACCGAGCTCACGGCGGCCCATCTTGAGTCACCTTCCCCAGAGCAGCAAGTAAAAGCACGCTCTGCATGTTGTAGAATGATGTTCCGCATTGCGTCTCAACAGATCCTTCGAGGTCAAACTAGATGCCCATGCTCATAGTTTGGATGAACTGTTTCAGCCATCCCTGGTGATAATGAGCCTCTGCACTGACCCGATTATTGACATTACGCCCCGATAGATAGATTCTACCGCGTTGTTCACGCAATTACCGTGAGTAAGGTGATTTGTTGTCAGCCGTAGTTTCAGGGCGCCACAAATCTCGGCTCGTTCCATCAGACTCATACCGTTTTGTCTGGAGTAACAGGAAGGAAATTTTGCACGTCCCTCCCTCCAGAAGCTGGATATCTGGGTTTTCATCTCCATCAGTTCCAAGGATACTCGAAGACGAGCATCCCGCGTAATTATATAAATGTTGGAAGGGTTACGGTGATCGATCACTGTGATGAACAAGGTTCGTAGGAATTGGTTGATTGTAAAGATCATCTACAGCTAGGTAGATTACTCGAACCGGTTATATACCAGGTTCCTGAGCGGTTGCACAAGTAGCAACCGCTCAGATCCCATGGATCTAACCGGGGATCACCAGTACGGACGCTGCAATGCATCCACAATAAAAGAATAAAGTCAAATCATCCCTTAGCCAGAGACATAATGATGACATGCTAGATCTTCATCCGTGGTCTTTCTGGTGCCAGATGAAAAGGTTGAATGGAGTGGACGGCTTTTCTTCTTCCGCTCATCAGACACGAGAGTGTTGAGGAAGGTGTCACCAAACTGCCTGCTGATGATGAGTGCCCCGAGGACTCTGTTGGCCTCGCTCTGCCAGCTCTCGATGCTCTGTACGTCACATCATGTCGTGTGTGAGGGGGTTTCTCGTCCCAAGGACCAGATTAAGGCGACCTCTGCCTGGTTGCTCAGCCGCCTCGCCTTATCTCTCCTCAGAAGGTCGGAGAGGGACTTGATTTACTTTGGCGTGCAAACCTCTCTTCGCTTGGCCATTCCCTCCCGAGGTCTTAGCTAGAGCTGCTTCGGTGGGTGAACACGCTCCTGTGTATCGAGAGCGCTGGGGAAGAATTTGCATTCGGCATTCGGACGGCCGCATTCAGTGTGATGTACATGGTGAATCTCGCAGTGCAACTTTTGTCTTGCGGCCATCATAGTCGTGGCCGCCATCGTGGCACTTGGGGTATGGACACCAGAGGGTAAAAGTCTTGAGACTAAACGACTGGCTCAAAGAAGGCTATTTCCCCTACCTTCCGACGAGTGAGTTCTCCAGGCGCTTAACCTTGTCATTTCCGACGACGAATGTCACAAAGCGGGCTCGATCGACAGGAACGTGTTCCTACCGAATATCATCCTTTTCATCCGAGGGCGGAGGTGGATATTCAAAGCGCACACCCAAAGGAGCTGAACCTTCTGACACTGCCCAAGAATGGAATTAAAAGCAGGTCGGTCAAAGCGCCCCGGCTCTTGATCTGTTGTTCGAAGGGATTGCAACTCAGGCAATTCCTTGGGATTCGCGGTATTTTCTCTCGATTCTGCTTGCCGTGAGGGACGACGACCAGCATTATTCCCTCGCGTGACAAGGGAAGAAGAGGTGATGAGCAAGGTCTCTGGGTAAGATTGCCAGAGGATAAAGTAGTAAGGAGGATCTTTGATCAAAATCCTTATTCAAAGTAGAATAGGTAGTCCGAGCACAGTGAGGGCGCCTGGACTCATAACCAGTTGAAGGGTGTGGATTGCGATGATCTAAAAACTAATAACTAAAGAGGATCTAAGAGATCTCTTGTACACCTAGGATTAATACAAACGAATCCTAGAGAATCTAAAGGAAAGAAAGTGAAACTCATAGGTTTGGATCTTAGGCAAACCTATCGGGAGGCACGGAGCAATAGGCGACTGGAGTCAAACGTTTCACCCAACCGTGTGTCAGTCGGATGTGTACGAGTCCTAAAGGTTACAAAGCTGTTGGTGTCGACCTCGCACGGCGCCATCTGCTGAGAGCGTCTAGGCCGTCCTCTGTCTTCGTGCTCTCCGTGTCCTGACCGCATCATCTTGATAACCGTCTCTCTCTCTTGGCAGCATTGCTTGAAAACCCGCCAGCTGAGTGGGCTTAAGGGTGGCACACACCGTATGTGCAGGTCGCTCCCCGAGGAAACTGAAGAATGATTCCATTGGCCGGATGGTAATTCGACTTATTCTGTCGTCTCAAACAAGGGATACAAGGTAAAAGCTGCGAAGGCCCTCAGTAGAGACTTGATCCCACAAGATCATCTGCTTCTGGACCCGAAATGATGCCTTGTCTTTTTCGAGACACTGGTCCACGATGCAGTTAGAAACGCATCTTTGTCCAAGAGGTCCGGTGAAAGTCCCACAAGGCGAGAGAACAGTTTAGAATGTTTCTGTCGCCGCCCTCATGCTTCGATAAGCATCCAGATATGGTGTCTTGCGTCGTGGATGGCTCCAGGCTGGTCTCTCACAAAAAGGGTGAAAAATGACTGCTGGGCCCAGGAGAACGAGTCGACAGGGGGTTCGGCTCAAAAAGTTCAACCCGCTCCTGCTCCCAGAAGACTCATCCCTTAATCTGGTAGATTTGATCGATTGGGCAAGAATATGAATACTTGACGCATCACCAGGGAGATATATTGTGCTGCGATGACATGGAGATGCTCCGCCGTGACTCAGCTCTCGAGCCAGGCAGTGAGAAGAGCACTGCACGGCAAGGACATCCCCAAACTTGGCGAACTTAGAGCATAGAACTCATAGAACTGCTGAAAACTAATCACAGCTATTTCATACACAGTCGTATCCCGATGGCGGCTGCTTCAGGCTCAGGATGATCTGTCGCACCTCGGTCCGGCTCATGGCTCGAACGCTGCGGTTTCCGCCTAGCTGTAGAAGCAGCTTCGAGGTAGGCTGGCCATCACTTCTTGTTGCCGTGTTGCACATGTTTCCGCAGCTTTGGGTCTTGTGTAGCCATCGCAGCTCGGGGCGACGCCGGTTCAAAGCTTCGAGCCCATGGAGGAGCTGGCGACCATGTACTTTGAAATGCATGATGAAGAGCCCTCGGTGAAGAGGAAGCACGCAGCCCTGAGCCCTAGCCATGGATGGGAGATGTGGAGATCTTCGATGGTCGCGGCGGTGATGTGTCTCTGCGTAGATTTTATCACCTCCGCGATAAAGTGCATTCCCAGTGCAGAGCCACACATCGAAGTTCTCTTGCGGCGTGAGAAGGAGTAAAGGCATGTACTCATGGGGAGGGACATAATATCGTAGACGTTAGGCGAAAGGGCTGTGGAAAGCTGTCTGGTCGATTCATCTTGAGCTGATCAACGTAGCCTGGCCTGACAGTTAGCAAGAATGAACAAGCTTGCCCCGGCAACGAAGGCGTGGACAACCTACCAGGTCGAAAGACTGCTTCATCGGATGAATCTCCACAGGGCACTCTGCGGAGTTCGTATAGTTCTTCACGGTAAGAACTTGGTCAGCCGCCGGTGGTCGGTTTATCCTTCTTCCCCCGTTTTCCTGCAGGCTGATACTATGCGGATGTCGAGTCAGATACTCCCTAGCCAGCACGGGTTCTGGATTCCATAGTTCAAATGTTACCAGTTCATCGTCGAAGGTTTCGACCGCAAAAGAGTTGACATAGTCGATATACTTTCTTGGATCGTTCGTTTAGCTCGCTCAGTTTTTATATTCCAAGGCTGCCTTTCAGTGGTCTCGTGCTTCGAGCTCGCGAAGCACAGCCTCTTGGTTTCCACGTACAGCGGTTGACTCCAGGAGCCGCACAGGGGTATCTGCCAAAGATGTAGAGGTGTGGCTCTCTAGTATTACTCTGGCAGTAGTCCAACACGACGCCCAATGTGCATGGCTCGGTCTCGCCGGCGGTACATAAGCATCCCCTTTCCCCCGTATTCGAACCTGCTTCTCCGACAGGAAATCAACGTCGAGGTATTATTGCGGCATACATACCGGGTGACCCATTAAGGAACCCAGAGGCCATTGTGGCCATTCACTTGGAAGCTATCGGACGTGAGTCTCGTCTTCGGCGCATGACTCTCCGGCTGCAGCCTCAGGTGGTGGCAATCATCGAACATAGCCCGTGAGCTTCGAGATTCCCGTGATGAAAGCTGAGATCCCCGCGTCAGTGCCCGTGTCAGGAAATAGCGAGGGTGGTCTTGAGTTGAGAACTGGTGATCGTGTGTACTGCTGGAGGCTGAGCCTTGTGTGCCGCAATGAATCCTCGTAGATCGATCCCATCTAAGTCGTCCTTGAGTTTCTGAGGGTCTTGAGATGCATTGGTAGCAATTTACTATATACAAGGACGGGACAATGTGACCAGCCAGCTTCATGGAGCTTCCTTAGTCGACGGGGCTAATTGATCATCCCCAGACGTGTTGTATGTCTGCTTGCCCTCCTCTGCCCGGAGCGTCTTGACCTACCCCTTGGGTTTCACCGACGACCTTACAACCTCTCTTTCCAACCGTGTCTGTGGTTCTAGGCCTGAGAATCCACTCTCAAAGCTCCGAGGGGGGGCTGGCGGCGGCTGGTTCGCTAGATGGCGGCAGAGAAAACAGTGAAGGGCATCCGATATTTGCAGAGAAACCCAGCAGACAGGCCTTTGTACTCATCGTGTGTCGATCTCGTACTGGCATGCCCCAACAACCCCGAGCATGATACGTGTCTGGGATATCCGCGCATGAACTTGCGAGGAGTGCGTTGAGCCAATGCGAGAGCTCACCGCGGACAATTCATTAGGTTTGTCGATACAGCGAAGGGTATCGAGCCAAAGTCAAGTCCAGTGGCATCCTTCCATTTTCCGCTGTCTTTTCCAGGAAATCGGTCGTTCCAGCCAGTGAAGGAGAGTTGTTATCCATCGAAGACATCGATATGTAGTCGGGGAACCCTAACCCAGAGGGATTTTACGCGAAATCCATGCTCCTCTGTCCAAATCTTCAACATCTGGCCGTAAGCGGAGGATGGACGAAGCAAGATTTCGAGGAGAGCCAACAACTGCAGCACTGGAATGTCAGTGGATGCTTGATACATGATAGAATTGTATTAAGAGTATTGGGGATTTCTTTAAACTCACAGGAAGATGTTCGAGACGTTGGACTTTCTTGATCAGGGGTGAGTGCTTCACATAAACTGTCTCATTTCTCTTTGGGTTGGCCTGCACCGCACTCCTCAAACCCGCCGAATTTGACGGTTAGCGAGTTCGTGCTGCTGCAGCCGTCCAATTTATTTCTTCTACCTCTCGTCTGACACTCTCTTTGGGCTTGGCCACCTAGGTTGTTTCTGTGACCATCGGCTGATGTGATGTTTGTCCAGTTGTGAAGTTACATTATCTCAGTCTCTGGGAACAATCCAGATGTATCGATCGCACTCGATATTCGACCTAACCTTGATGGCCTCGTAGATTATCAACTCTCGGAGGTCTTCACCCCTAGCAGGAGGTAGGGCGCATTCCGCTGATGATTCACCCAGCGAGCTGAGTAGTCCGTTCCTGATGTCCCCAGTTCATCGTTCTGCTCGAAAACCGGCTAAAAGATCAACAAGGGGTTGATCTCAGGCTACCAGTTGGTGGATCAGACGCGTGGGTGGAGTTCATTTCTTTTCCGTTTGATGGGATCTGTTCTTGAGCCTCAACTTGATAGGTCGTAGTGCTGGTGGAAGGTCTCTGCCAGTGTATGGCGGTATTTTGTTATTGCATAGATTGAAGCCTCGTATCACGATACCTGCACTTACGTGGCAGGTAGTGTGATTGGATGAGCTTGGTTCTTCTATCTAGGCCGTGGAACTTTTCGTTTTATGGCTGGCACCTGGGGTCAATTTGTCAACTCCTTTTTGGGTGCCACTGGACCCGAGTTTGACAATCGTCGGGTCATCAACGTCGAGGCCCCCCATGAGAACAGAGTGACCTGTCTCTAGTTCAAGTTTCATCACGCGTAAAAAGGCTGGCATCATGTCCGAGCCGTAGTGGAACGGTTCACCACCTGTTTCGACTCAGATGCTTTGGTTTCACCGTGTCGAGTGTATGATCCAGCGGACCAAAGTTGGAGTCCATATACCCTTTAATGAGACGCCTCAACAGACCCATGGATCGTGCCTGGGACACGATGTCTAAGTTAGGGACCCATGACGCTCGCATATACCAGCAGCACTGTGCTAGTAATCCACGCTTCATCAACGCGCTGATAGGGAGTGATCACCGGGCCAAACGTATTGACCTTCTGATCCGGCCCCAGATAGGATTGAATCCTCCAAGTCGCCAAGTCCTGAAGCCGCTGTAGTCGACTGCCAAGGCATGTGGTCTGGCGGTGGCATCAGGGGAGCAGGCTTGTATGTTACGCGGATACCCTGGCCAAGCCTCAACGTCGCCAAAGTAGACAATGCGTCTGGAACCGGGAGCTTGGGCGAGTACTCTTGTTTGACTGGCGGCGCACGATCCTGCGGGAGGAGGGCTTTAAGCGTAGCCAACTTCCTCTTCATAAATTGAGTCTTGGGGTCGTCCAGCAGGTAGAATCTGAGCCTAGGCTACCTTTGCCGATAGACCAACTCGGCCTCCATACTCTCGGAACGTTGCTCATCTAGACCGAAAGGATTCCTTCGACTAATCACCTGTGTATAGGCCATTCAGAACCCAAATATTTGGCCAGGCTGGCCAGATACTCTGTCTACAATTTCAAAAGACAAGGAAAGGAAAATGTTTTCATCTCGCGACGCCGACCGAAGGATATCAGTCCTAGCCGTCATGGAGTTTCGAAATAAGGAGACCACCTTCAGGCGGATACTAAGTAAACGGAATTTGTAGTTACCCTCTGGATGGTGTTTCAGTGGGAATCTGCGCTGATTTGGACAGTCGCGTCCAAGTTCGACGTCACCCTGGGCATTGAAGTCCTTCGGTACAAACAAGCTGATGTAGATCGCGTTGTGCAGGATGGTGCCTTTGAATGACAGAGTCTCAGGACCATGTCCTCCTTTTCGCCAATCTGTGAGTAGAAGAGGAGAATAAAGATTGGATGTCGCAAGCCGTTCTTGTAGAATCCTACAACGGGCCGCGCTCTTAAAGAGGAGCGCCAAACATTTGTCTGACCGGACTTAGGTGTAGCTCACTTCATCTCTGGTCGCCCTGAGGATGCTGTATCCCTCTGAAATCATCTGGGCGCATTCCTCGTGGTGAAGTCCAGTCTGTAAACCCTTCCACCGCCCTTGACTTTCCTTCGATCCCAGATATATGTTTCGGATTGGAGTCACCTGTTCACCACCAAGTACTCACCACCTCCGACCACCGGAGCAATACTTCAGTTTCGCACAGCCGGTGAAGTAGTGTGCCCTTGAAACTTGAGCTGCTGAGTAGGCAAATTTCGAGTTTGATGAAGCAGAGACATTTCCGAAGTTGATTATGAGCACCTTGATCGGAGAAGGTTCCATCGCCGTGTCTAACGCGGTAGGAGGGAGCGCATCCTCATCCTTCGCCTTCACCTTCACCTAGTGAGAGAAGCAGCCTGCGACAAGGGGCGACCCATCAAGCGTCGCAGTTGTGATTCCCATACCTCCCATACTTTGGAGGTCATGTAGTGGTCAGAATGCAACCCCAAATGAGCTGTCTCCCTCCGGGCTTCGATGGTGCCCTCCTTGGCCGCCTTCCAATGCCCTCGCTGTGTCGCCGTCGAGAATCAGACCACTTTCTTCTCGATGTAGCATGTTCTCTGTAGCAGTTGCGCCTGCCATCCCCACATGCTTCCTGGATAGGAACTCGGCCTGATTGTGGTTGCATGTCTCGCAGGCATGATCAGTCTCTGGGACCGGCGTCCTACCCTTGAATGCGCTGTTGCCTGGCGCAGTAGAAAGAAGAGCCATGGTTCGTTGTAAAAGCCGCAGCCCGTGGGAGGGGATCTTGTGAGTAGGCATCAGTCGTGCTAATGTTGTGTAGGCAGCCTTGTTGTTAATGGAAAGCTTGTATCGCCTCGTACCATCATCCAGAGGCAGAATGATCTCAATGGACCGCAGCTATAAGAATCGCATTGGTCCAAAATGGGTGGGCAAACCGATGTGAAGCTATGGGTGAATCTTGAGGACCAGAAACTGTCACAGAACGCGCGGTTGGTCCCAGCAACGAATAGTGAGTCAAAGTGCTCCCGGCTATCGTGGTCGCGGGCCGTGTTAGGTTTCTGTGAGTACTGGAACTTCAAGGCAGTCTCTGCATGATCACGGTGGCATGCCTCAAACAGGGCCACAGGGTCGCTACACTCCTCAGGCTCAACGGGCTGATGGCTGCTGTAGATATCGAGACTTGTGTACGCAGGATCAAAGTACTCAGGAATCTTGCCATAATGCTGGTGCTGGTAGTATTAGCAAGGTTTCTATACATTAGATCATGCTATTAAAGAGGCTTACCGATCGATGCTCAATCTCGCCGAGTATCATACTACGGTAAGACTCTCGCCAAAAGTATTTCTCCTCCTGTAATGTTGTTAGTACTAAATATATATAATCAGCTAATATAATACCAGACTACTTACTGCAGGAGCCGGAAGGATGCCACAGTAGCACGAAACCTGGCCTTACTGTTGTAGTGACATATATCAAGCTCACTCACCCTACTATCAGGAGAGAGGCTAACTTCAATATCTCCTCCCGGTGGTTTGAGCCTGCTCCCGAGGATGAGGCTTCGGCTTCATCATTCCCTGGAAGATTCACGCCGCGCATCCTCTTATATCATCGGGTTCAGCTCTTCCACGAAGTATGTACACTTCCTGTGTGCTCTTAACTCGTAATTCATCTCGTAGCATTATTTGTTAACGTCGTGTCTTCTGGGTTGAGCAAGATCTTCACCCTGCGTTTCATACCCTTCCTCGTCTCGGTTCAATCTGACCTCAGGAGGCCAACCCCACGTTCGCAAGCCGACTGACCAAACGAAATGAATCGCGAGATAATATGAACTAGAAGTCCGAAAGGAATAAAGCCAGAACATATCGAGAAGGATTATATGGAGGAGAGGTCCAAACTTGTGCGCTCTGCCCTCTTTTCCTGTTGGAAGTCTTTAGGCCTAGTGTCGTGAAAGAGTCTAGAGGTCGTTCCCATTTCCCACTCGGATGAGGCAGCTGAGGAGGATCGGCAGCTGCTCTGGCCATGAATGCTGAATTTTCTGCGTGAATCGCGTCTCACACGCGCTCGGTTCCTCAAGATGGCAAAGGAAATCTTCTTCCCGGTCCTCAGGCTGCCCCTGTATATCGTCGTCTCCGTGTAGTGCCTCGACGAGAAGCCATTGTCGGTCCACGGCAAGTAGATAGCTGCTCTTGCAGGCTAGGTACCAGCCATCTCCAACTCTCTTGGCCTCTATTCTACCGTACTCCATCTCGAGCTTGATATTTTGCCCGCATGCCGGAGGAGTCTCGGCTGTGCTGTCGAAGCCATCTCCAGGTATCATCGTCAATACAAGGTGACATCGGCCGACGACCCGGGCTCCTCTTGGTTGATGATCGCTAGTGACCTAATCACCGTCCCACCTCGACGGGATCACTATGGCATTTGTTTGAACCAATTCTCAGGACATCATCATTGGTGGGAATATACAAGTACGAGTCCTTGCTTGAGAAAGTATGAAGCCAGGGTGGATCAAGTCAATCTGGGATTGTCCGGGGAAACTCTACCTGCAGTCGAAGAGGGGATCCATGTTGAAGATGATCAACCCAAGTATCGATCAAGGCTCGACGTGATGCCTCAGAGGTTGCTGGATTCTGGCTCTACCGCTACCACTCGACCTCGAAGACGAGTATCAAGAGAGAGCCGCGCTGCAAGTCTTTTTCAGCACTTGTGACATTCTGGGTCTTGGGTGCGGTCGGTGAAATTGGATCCTCGCTTTATCCGCAAGTTCTGTACTTCGGAACAGAGTCAGATTTGTTTGTCCTCCAGAGCCGTACATCCAGTGGGCAAAGTCGAACGACTGCGGTTATTTGCCCGTCTCGCCATCGCACTCATCTTCCGTTAGGGCTATGAAGAGCTGAGGCACACAGTGGACCGTTGGCGATCGTTCTCGCACTTTGGCGCAGTGGCATTGTATGCCTTGCGGATATCCTGCTTGGCAACTGGCGTCGTCGCGCACGCAAAGCAGTTTGTGGTGAGAGCCACAGCTTCACGATCCGTGTCGTGCTCCTGAACAGCCCGAATACCAGGTCGTGCCTCGGTTTGCCGTCGGTGTCCCTGCGAAATAAGGACTCTTCCAGGAGCTCGAGCTGCTTGCACCCGATGAGCGCAAAGTTATCCACCAGTTCCTCTCCGAGTATCGCCCTGTTGAAGACACCATCCGTGAGATCAGTATTATCGGCGATGATTGCCTTGAACTTCGGTAGCATGACCACTCCCGGGATGACGCACATTGTCATCCCCAGCCAAAACGCCTGGGCGCCGGGCAATTGTTGGCAGTGCTGAGAACGACCAGCTTCAAGGACCTAGTGCTGAGGAGAGCAGTTGACCAGGTCTGGCTCTGCGGAATAGGCTTCAAGAAAGGTTTCTCCGCAAACTTGGGCCGTTCCTGATCTTCCAGACATCGCGGCCCAGGGGGAAGAAACCAACTTGGGAAGAAACGGAGTTAGGCAATGCTGGATATTCCATAGAAGTCTTGGTGAAAGATTCGACATGCTGTTGGAGCTGAGCTTCCCCAGGGGTAAACCGGGTCTGATAAAGCGCTCCAGATAGGCGGCAAGACGACGGGACTGGCTGGCCAAATTCGATGATGATATCCATTCGGACCACCTGAACGGGTCCAGTCTCAGGCCTCCATGCGTTCGAATTGCCTGCGGGAGGAATTAAAAGCAGCTCGGCTTTGTTGTTTGACGTAGACGGACTTGAATTAGGGACAAGATGTATCTCGGCCGCAGGTTCAGGAGTGACAGGCTGGGCTGCCTGACATGCTAGCTCCCTTTCCTTGCCTTGATCAACGACTTGTTGGCTGTGTTGATCTTCGCGTTCTTGGATCATGATGTCGCCAATGTTGTTCCCCACAACCTGAAGCCTGGGAAGAGGTCTCAATGGGTTAAGACTGAGTTCTAGGGAGAGAATAGCGGCAAGTTGGGTGGAATAGTCATCTGAGAGAGCCGGAGCGATCATGTCCCAGCCACACCTGCCTGCATCTAGCTACCTTATTAGTATTATCCCTCTAGATCCTCTTACTTTCCCCCCAGGACTTAGAAAAAGGATATTGCTGCTGGGCAGAGTTTCAAATGTGCAGACACACTCCTTGGGGGAGATTCGGCGTGGATAAGTATTCGACAAATGCGCCGGTAAGATGGATTCTGGGTTCGGAAACGATTCAGGCTCCCTGAGACCAAAGGATCGGCAGTATCTTGGTATATAGACAGACTAAAATGCAAAGCAAACCATCATTTAGGTGCTTCGTTTTGGACCATCCTGTTCACACCTCAAGGGGTTTCGACTTCGGCCAGATGTTTTGCAAATATAGTTTCCCCTGAGGGCTTCAGCGTCTCCCGCTCCAGAATATGACATTCGTCGTTCTGGAGCTGCTTAACACGTCAATCATGGGCGCCCCTGGCATCATACCGCTCCTGCTTTGGCCGAGGAGGATGTGGTCGACCATCGGATTCAAACTGCATGTCTCGGCCGACTTTTGGTCGACTTTCATGAAACTCAATGGCATTCGGTAGTCTGCATCACCCAGCACATTGGTACCTCGTGACCCTACGTCGTCAGTCACACTGCCATGAATTCGATGGTCCCTCTGTCTCATATCAAACGCAGGCTCGAGAACATAGTGGTCGAGCGTGCGTAGCGAAATGGCGTAGACGTCCTTTTCCTTCTATTCGTCGTATCCCTCACGTTGTCAGTTCCGAGTTGGCCACGGTCCCAAATCAACTGGACAATGCAGGGAGATGGTGGATGTAGTTGGGTTTTCCTCAACTCGCACCAACCCGGATTGTCCCTCATGAACTCGGCAAGCCCAGCAGCCGAATCAGGGTCCATCCCTAGGGATCTCGCTGGCTCCTCTGCAGTGATGCCTGTGATGGGTTGTCTGATAATACTGAACAGGCTGCTTGAGTCGGGCCTGCGCGGAGCCAGTGCTGGCGCTGCTCGGTGCCTCACCCTCATGGTTGGCTTCTTCCCAGGCGAAAATAGATCATTCTTCCATTGGGAAGACTGGTTTCGATCTCAACTCAATAGACCTCTCTTCTCCGTTTACTGCCATGAGCTCGGTGAACCTCCCACTACCCGACCCGGTGAGCCGGTTGAAGCTCTGTCCGTTCTCTGCATGACAACGTTTCGGTACGATGACCCGCGTTACTCTCCATCGAATTCAGCACATCCAACCAGATGGCGGTAGTACGTTGGCATGTCTAGCATCGGCGACTGCTACCATTCCGGTACATAGGGTAGGGCATGGGCATTGTGGTCGACTGCGTCAGTTCTACATCGTTGGTTGACTGACGACACGGCTATGACTTGCCCAGCCCGACTCAAACGGCCACATCATTGACAGGACGCCCTCGATGTCCTTTGCGTTCTTCGGCATCGGGGTCCCGCTCAGTGCGCCGAACAGAGCCCTCCTCTTCTTGCCCGTCTCTTCTTGCCCGTCTTGTCTCCGTCGTCGGGGTCTCTGCCTCCTGATATCTCGTGGAGGCACTTGATGGTTTTGCTCTTAGCGCCCCTCGCCACAGTAAACTCATCGTACCAGATCGTGGCTGGCCGCAGACAGTTCTACAGCGAGATAACCCAGTCCGACGCCCTCCCAAACTATCTCACCGGGACATGGCCACGTCTGAAAGCGGCCATCGAAGATGGGCTTATAGCTGTTCGGCAATACGACCTCCTCCTCCTGCAGCGCTACTACTTGGTCCATCCATTGGCCCACGAGGTTCGCTGGGCACACCACTATATGGTGCTCCCTTAGCTTAACGTTTTCGCACAAAATCCTCGCTGCGCTCGACCTCACGTAGAAACATTCTATCCCCAGGGGGTTATTCATGAGACAGCGACCCTCAACCGGCTTATCCCCTCTGCCATCGTGGTTAAGGGGGTTTTGCTCGTACATCTCCTTGCTCTTCATCGACAGGATGATGCTGGGCACGGCCATGAACACCTCGAGAGTCTTTCTCTGCCTGGGAAACTCAGACTGCGCTGTTTAGAGTATCGCGCCCCCACGTCCTTGTTCTTGGTCAGCTTGTCCAGCGGTCCCGGTTGCATAGGGTCCCCGATGAATGTGGCCGGAGTCTCTGGGAAAGCACCATAGCCATGCACTCTGTCATATGTGCAACCTCATCAACGAATAAAGTTCTCGGCAAGGGAGGACCACGTCCCGCTGAAGGGAGTTCACACCCCCCGAACAACAACCCGTGATGTAGCCAGGAGTATGATGTTCCTCCAGCGGCCCGCATTGATGACATACGTCTTCAGGTGCTGTGCTAGGCTTCACCACCTAAGCGAGAAACAATATGGCGTGTTGTTCAACAATGGACTGCTGGCCAGGTCCCTGCTCGGTATGGCAATCAACTCAACTCTCTTCGAAGGGTTGTTCTCTCCGCCCCTCCGCCCCAGTGAAGCATGTCCCAGGGCGCCCCGACGGTAGGTTTGAAGGTGTGCATGAAGCACAGCGTCAAGCGGGATAGCTGATGAATCGATTACCGATTCCACCGCAAAAAAGGAGGCATATCCATATCGGCGGCACTAACAGTCACGAAGATTGTCAGTTTGAGGAATGGGACGATCAGTCTTCTAAGAAGAAGGGCTAGTGTTCTTTGTGGCAGGCATCATCTCGGAGCAGCAAAGGTGCTAGCCGTCCCGCCAGGGGAGGACCTCATTGACAAGCAAGTCTCCATGGGACCTTTTACTGCTCCTCAAAGGCTCTCGGAACCTCTCGTTTGTCTTTGGGTTGGATACTCCCAGTTCATTTGCACATATAGCCATCGTAGTGGCTCTGATGCCATGCAGGCAACCCCGTTGTTCACCAGGCTTGAGGGACATGAAATAACTGATCGGTAGCTCGGGAGGAGGAATACCGACGCGATCGATGTAATCTTCTTCCGTCTCTCCATTCTGAAGGGTTTCCGCTGAGCTTTCAATTGGGTATAGTGCGCACGGGAAGATCTCTTCTGCGCATTTATCCGTCATCTAGTATTCGTAGTTGCATTCGTCCTTGACATCGCCCATCAGTGTCACAGGATTCGTCCTTGACATCGCCTATCAGTGTCACTGCATCGCAGCTTGATCATCTCTACAAATAGAGGTGCTTCACCAGTAGGTCTTCGGACAATGAATTTGTCTCCTGAAACAATTGGCCGACCTGAGTCTTTGTAGACTGGGGAGCTGTGGTGGCCATAGATTGGATATTGTAAGCGAATCCGACGTGCTCATCTCCTTCATCGTTCAGGTCAATGAGGTCTAAAGAAGATAAACCTGCTGCCTTGACCATGGGCATCCACACAGCCTGCAGCTTAATTTCGGTGGTACCTTGGTCCGAGATACAAGGTATTTGATGCCAAGGCAGGCCTTATCCCAATAGCTGTGAAGAGTCCGGCACGGCGGACCGGATCTCTGGTCTGAGTACCTTTTCCGAAGGTACTTGATGACGCTTGATGGCTCCTACCAAACCCTGGTTTTGTTGGATGGGGTGAAGGGGAGGCCTGAGTCAAATCTGGGCGTTGTAGCTGCCTCCTCTTCATCAGACGCAACGCCCACTCTCAGAGGGCGTTCTGGTGATAGAGTACGCCAGGTTTGCTGAATGGGGACTATTCGCCCGAAAGCCTTGAAAGATGAGCTCCTGGCGCGCAAAAGACTCAATAGCTTCGCCACCCCTTCGGCTTCGACCCGGCGTAGGGATAAACATCCTCCGTCAGCAGATTTATGAACCAGATTCACCGCCCTCGGCGGCCGCTGATCTCCTCGCTGCCGACCTCGTTGCTCTCCGAGTCAACCTCATCGCTGATTCCTTTCACGGGGATGCCCAGCCTCTGCATCCGCTCGATGAATTCTCTCATATAGCCCGCCATAGCGCTCTGTGAGCTGCCGGTGGATGCCATGAGCCCAATCTGTTCTTTATCTCATGATCGTTGTTGTTGTTGGTCCGGCAGCTTCTAGAGTTCGTCCAGCAGGGCCTCGCCTCTCATCACGACCTTCAATATCATTTGGCCGATGATAGACGCAATTGGCCCACTCGTCCGCGTTCGCCACGTCCTCCGTCGTCCTCGCCACGGCCCGGGTCGGTCGACCTATCTATGAGCGACATGGCATTGGTGATCCCGTGTCCCGATCTCACGAACATGAGGATCCTTTCTGATCGTGCACATGCCCTCCACCACGGCGAAGCGGCCCAGCGGCAGCTTCTCCAGCATCGATCTAGCAGCTTCTTCTCCGCCCTGTGTGATGGCGACCAGCTTGCCGGCCACACCGTCCTTGCTGGGGCGCGCCGCTGCATTACTCGCTGATATCGCCGACGTGTCGTCCGCCAACGTCTTGAACTCTTCTTTTAGAGCCATCTTGTCGGTCCACCTCGTGGTCGTTCGTCCTTGTGTTTTCCGTATCGGCACCGCTCATATCAAGCCGTGTGTTGTGGGTTCCCCCATAGGGAAGCGGAATCCTGACACAAGGATGTTACCGTGGCCCAACACGCTTCCCACTGTCTTTTCCTGAAATATCACCGAGCTGGTCGACTACGTTCCTGACAGAACGAGCGCGGTCAGTGAGGCCACCAGTGTCTAAGTCCAGTATCTCTCTTCTTAGGTCAAGCGCAGGAGTCTTTGCAAACAACGACAGCGTGTGTCCGACAAGGATTGTATGCTGGGAAAAGTAGTCATTGTAAGTTTTAGACTCCTGCTTCAGCAGTACCCAAACCATCTGGTTAAAACTAAGATGGAACTTAGTTCTGTATGATCTCCCAGATGACCAACTACTGGAGCAACGGCGGCATCCATTCCGAGAGAGACGCTTCCAAAGCCACCTTTCGAGCGGGATTGGTGAGCATCGCCTGGGACTGGTGGTCACAGCGGCCTCAATGTACCCGGCCGGATGGTGGCGATCTTGCATGGCCGTGGAGATGAGCTTCTTCGTCGGGGCATCCTGCACGGGATCAGTATCTCAACCGGCTCGGAAACAGGATCGGAAACAGACAAGACTTACGTCGCATTCAACATTGACCAAGGGCGGCATCGACAATATGCTTTTGGGGGGGGATCCTTCGTCCTATTCTCTCTCAAACTACCTTTGCCCACAAACCCATAGGGCACGAGCGTGTCCTGCGGGGATTTGCTCTTGCCATCGCCCTCGACCTGACGATCAGGAGTCGCCGAGCCCGCTGCAGCCCAGCGCGTGCTCTACGTGGACAGGCTCCTCGGCTTTTCTCGCCTGGTGATGCTGGCAGGAACGTCTCATTTTGGGCCGATGACCACGTCGACCACATGAGGGTTGTGGGCTGGAATTGGATCTCCTCCCGCAACGTGAAGAGCGCCCGTGCCCATTTGACCCGGCGGGACTTGGATGCGATTGTCCTCGGCATAGGTCGGATGAGGATAAGTTTCAGCGACTCCATTGGGGGGCATCATCATCTGGAGGGATACGCTGTTGAGAGAGAGACTTAGAGGTGCTACTCCACAAGTCCCAGTTGCCAATAGGCAACCTGACCATAGGAACAACGGCTCCGATCTCCAACGAGTCGAGTGACGGCACCATTTTCAGGGTCCCTCATATGATTGTTTGGGTACGAGGCTAGTTCGTTCACAAGGTCTTCTTGGCTGATGGACCGAGTTGTGGCCGAGGAAATTCGGTAGGAGTATCAAGGTTGGAGAAACGGAGAGGTAGACCAGGCCTCGCCCTCAGGAACCCAGCCTGAGTTGGTCGATCGTAATCCACAATCACTGCGTCCGCTTCAGAACTAGGAGCAACAAGGTGGATCAAAGACAGGCAGGCACTGACTATCTTCAATGTTCGGTTCGCGGTGTGAGGTGGATAGCCTGGGATAGCGGTCACCAGTGCGACGTAAGCCTTTTAAAACCAGCTTGAGCAGCTACACCAAACGTGGTAGAATGCGTTGAGGTCGGAATCGAAATGACAAGGCTCAATCCCGTCGTCTGGGTAGATATAGTTGTGGGGGAAGTACCTGCGCTTGGTGTTGTGCAGAAAGGTAGGATTTGGTGGGAAGCAGCTCTTCATACCCTCGTAGCCCCAAAACTCCACACACAATCTGCGTCTTCCGTGTATAGGTTGGGATAGGATCTCAAAGAAGTACGGGGCCGATCATAATAGTTTCTTCCCTTGTAGCCTTCTTCTTTGTGAGAGGGCGTTTGGTAGAACGATATGGAAATCACGAGTAACAGTTAAGAATTCCCCGGGATGACCGTCTGTGGCGATAATGCGGCTAACAAGTTCAATAGCGAGATTCACGATAGGGAGTCTGATCTTGAACCAATCAGCCCTAGTGAAGAAAGAGGGCAGAGATACCTCGAAAGCTAAGCATAATACAGATGTTAGTGACGACGTCCGTCTTCATGGCCCAGTCACGCACAAAAAGCTCACTCGATTCGGGAAGCCTGATGCCACGGGAGACACGATTGTAAGTGTGGCCCAGGTAGGTAACAGTGATAGAAGAAGGCATAACCCCAAGAGACCAGGTGTCTCATTACCTCATTCCACCAGGCTGATGTGTCTATCGGCGAGATGACACTGTTAGCATCGAAATTAGTCTTGACCTGAAGGAAAGGGGCAAAAGGTACGAACCGCAATCGCTGCCGAGATACTGCAAGGGTCCTCAAAAATAAGGACGAGGGCTTCCTTATCAAACCAGAATCACTCGGAAGGACTCGTACACCAGAAGGACGGGTCCTCCGCTCCTTTCTCGGTCAGAGGAGGACATACGGCGGCGAACTGGTGAGGGATCCCATAGATGACAGGATCTGCCCCCCGCTCCTGCACCAGGCCCCTGACCAGCCCTCCTCGACTTAATTGGGTATGTAGAAGGGTAGACAGAGTTTGTAAAGGGGCAAATAAACGGAAACAAAAGAAGATGAATCTGTCTCCAAGTGACAGATATACAGATAAAAGGGAAGAGGGAAAGGTTGCGAGTGAATGGCCAGAGAGACTCCTCCCAACTCATGGAAAGCCCAGACGGTGGTAGAGGTTGGGTATCTGTGTCTACCGACCTTGAATGGGAGGAACTAGATAGAGGAATCAGCACAGATTGAATGATCCGAGCACAGCCCCGGTCAGAGAAGGGGCTGTAGCAGGATGGGGGGGGCAAGTGAGGCTCATGGCGGACTTGGTGAATCCAAGTTCTCCTGGGGAATGTCTTGATAGAATCTCTCCACTATTCTTGGAAGAATGGGGGATCGTTCGTCTTATATAGACACAAGGTGGCTCCTCAAGAAGGCATCTCCAGCTGACAATTCTCCCTACCTACTCTGTGGCCCCTTTTTGCCGACCAGTTGTTTGATTAAGGGGTTGGAGCAACTCGCCTTGACATGCGGTAGGGAATACATGCCCTGGGAAAGTGCATATGCTGTCCACCCCCGAAGTGTTTGCCGATGGCTCGAGCTCCGTGGCCATGGGGCCGGAGTTGATGTCTGCGGATATCTACAAACAAGAGGCAGCCCCTGAGTACCCACGGGGGCGGCGATCGGTTTCAAGAGACGACACACGCCGTACACAAAGTCACGGTTCATCAGTATCAATTGAGTGTGCGCGGGAGGAGTGCTCCTGTCAAAAAAAAATCCTTTAGTATTTTTTGTTGCTGCATCTGAGGTATCACTTAATTAAAACATAACCACATGCAGCCATTTGAAAACCATCCCTTCGCTTTAGACCCCGTAATGATGCTGCCGCCCTTTTCGCACGTCCGTTATCCGCGCCTACTTCATAACTTAATTCTTTCAAAATGTACAGTTGGGATAGATGCACTCTCCCTCTCTGGCGCTGCCTTGATAGATGCGGGACAGGCCTTTGTGGAACGAATCCAGCACCAAGTTTTGTGCTCCGCGTCTGTGCTACTTATTAGACAGCAATAGATAGTTTGTCTCCGTCGGCGTTCGGTGCTACCAGGGCCCGGATGGCGCTGTCAACCTTTTCCAGCAAGTTGGCTACACCGCCATCTGCCCTTCCGGCAGCACCAGTCATGAGACCTTGCCAGTTCTTGCCCTTGCCCTCCCAGATAGGTCTGAGGGCCTGGGCAAACCGATCCTCTTGCCCAGAGCCGGGGCGACGTAGGTACCACCAAAGGCCGTCTTTCCGACTCTTGGTTGAGCACTCCAACGAGAGGCGGATGTCCTCTCCATGCAGCTTATAGTGTATCCCGATCCAGTCCAGTGCCCGGAAGGAGAAGCTGACGAATCCTTGTGAAACGATGCTGTCCTCTTGCCATGCTGCCTCAATTTTGTCAATAGCCGATATGGCTGGTAGAGACATGGGCAACCACGCCAGTAGCGCCTTGATACCCCCATCAAGGTTTGCGAGTCTTTGCAAGATATCGACAAGCCTTAGCGAGGGGTTGTTCTCTTCAAGCTTGACTTGGATCTCATCCTGGGAGAGATCCAGCACAAGTCTCCATCGCTTTTGGGCCGCCGTGACATCCTGCCCCCTGTTTTCAGTTTGCTGAGACGGCTCCTGGCCGTAGAAACATGAAACCTCGCGAAGAGTTGCGGTGTCACGGACAATCGCCCCGTTTGTTTGATCCAAAGCCTCAAGGAAGCTGACAAACCGATCAATAGCCATCAGTCTAGACTTGAGCATAGAGAGTGTAGATTCACCAACATGGTGGCGAATCCGAATACTGAACTCGCCTGTTTGTGGCTTGTAGCTCACGTCTCGGTCGATAGCGCCGCCAAGATGAGCAAGCTTTGACTTGTCTCGCACTCTGATGGTAGCAACAGAAATACAAACAAGGCGCCCCGCATCCAGGGGGTTCCCCTCTGCCCCACTGTCGGCCTGGCGTCGGAATCGTGCGTGTAACCCCTTAAACATGATGGTCACGATATTCTTAGCCCATGGCTGCCGGGCACCCAGGGACTTGGTGGCCGCTGGGTGTCTTAGAGGCGGTGCATCAGAGGCTGATCCCTGGCCCGCTCCAAAGCCCCCAGCAGTTGAAGAAAGTACCATGGAAGGGAATAGTGTAGAAAGCTCGATTTCGAGCACTGGTAATCGAAAGAGTTTCCCGGCTGGCTGGCTAGGATCAGCAGATGCTTGGTTCTTGATTTGCCGTAGATATAGCTCGCGCGAGTCGATAGACTGCGCAATCATGCCCGTTGTGAACGCGGTGAAGGTTTGCCAGAATTCATCTGAAAGATGTGGACACCCCTTGTTGAAGGGTAATCTTGCTTGCAATGACGGACTGTAGTTGGGGTTTCCAGAGTTCCTAAAGTCGGGGCATCATTAGTATCCAAGCAAAGCCATATTTACCCGAGTAGCAAGGGGACATGAACTTACGTTTCTAGCAGCCACCACTCATCACCTCCCAGGCTGAGAAACACTGCAACGAACCATCTGGAATCCCAGCCATCTCTCTGAATCCAGATGCTGCGTGTCCAGTCACGCTTTTTGGTCATGGTCTTGATTTCCTCCATAGACATCGGGGGACGTGCCGTATGCCACCCGTTTGTACTTCCTTGGCGACTCAGTTTCTCCTCAAATAAGGAACAACGAACATATTCAACATTGGTCACGCCTCCCGTTATCATGTCTCGGCAGTTATTCAGGTGATGCTCGAACTGGAAAGTGATCTTGGAGTGTGGCTTAATAGCAAACACTCCAGTGACCGGCTCCATCGACAGCGTGACGTCAGAGGAGAACCCAACTTGTGTCGTGAGATGAGATGCAGCTGGATCCGACTTGGAGATGTTGAGTAGCATTCCAGCTTGCTTGTTCTGGAAGCGCGGTGCCTCCAGCAATTTGTCGTGGATCCCACGAAGGACGAACTCAATGTGCATGCCAATAACATGGCGCAAAAGATTCTCGGCAGAGATGTTCTCGACGTCCAATCGGATCTCCACACCTTCTACTTCTTTGTTTTCACGATACCACTTGGCTGTCAGATAGCTTGCTGGCTTCTCATCTTCGGGAGCATTCTTCTTCCGCCCACTGTTTACCGCGATCAGCACCCAGCTCTTGAGGCCTGCTGATGCTGTGCGCGAGGTCCAGTACTGGATTGCCAGAGCACGATGCAACTGCTCCACCACCAATGTTCCGGCCCAGGAACCTTTGCTTAGCTGCAGTGCCTGTCGCTTGATCTCGTTGATCTTGGAGGTCAGAACCAATTCGTGGAGGAAGTGATAACAACCGGCCAAGCCATCCTTTTCCAGTGCCGAATTGACACACCACTCCAGGTTCAGCCGCAAGGAATCGCTCAGTGTTGCCGCCGCAGGTTTGAAGTCGAACCTGAAGTCGATGAACCAGAACTGCTTTTCGAAATCCTCATCTGCTATGGTAAGATCGACCTCAAATTCGCCGGGAACCTTGAATGTGACTCGTCCGGAGCTTATTTTGTAATCTCTGAATTGGGGGGGGATTTTGTCGAACTCGTCAAGGTTGAGCCTAAGCGACAAATGTGTATTTAAAGCATTGATCCATGTCAATTTCTCTTCGACACTGATTGGCGGAGGCTCGATATAATTCAACTGTGAATCGAATTAGCAGAGAGTTCAGAAGGGCACGAGCAGATTGCCGATACACACATCAGGGAACCATGGGGCGGTTCCAGTTGATAGGACGTGAAGGGCTGTCTTGAGGTCGGGGCTTGGCATCCGCGCAAAGGCAAGATTCCGTTTCGTGGTGATAACTGTGTTAAAGGCCGTGTCGAATAGCATTTTTTGGTCAAGGATGTGCATGTTGATGTCAATCAGCTTGCTGACCATGTCAGCCTTTCGGCTCCATTCCGTAATAACCAGCGCCTTGACGAATGTTGCGTGAACTTCCTGGGCGAACGCAAGTAGGGTGGCCTTCTTCTGTAGGTTTTCGTTGGAGGTGTCGTCCACCGCTGCGGAAGACGAAGTTGCGTTTCCGTTGGTCGCGTTGGAGGGCACCGGCAGCCCAGCCAGATGTATGATTCTCTCCTGGAGTTTGTTATGGGTGCTTTGCGCAAGACGAGTCAGAAGGCGGGATAGAGGGATAAAGCCATCTGTGATGTGTCTGATCTCGTCCGGTAGGTCGTTCATCCTTGGAGGGCCCTGCGACTGCTTCGCGATCTGTTGGGCAGCGACGGCATTCGAGGGCGCTTCCTTCATGGGCGCGTTGCGAGAGTCGTCGGCGGCGGATCCATTGTGACCGTTTGTCTTGGGGCCTCCATCTGGATCGATGCGCGAGCCATCATGACCGCCATCGTTCATGATGACAGCGGCCGGCATACTGAATGGCTAAGCGTTGATCGCCCGATCCCCCTGCACAGTCCAGGAATCACCTCTCCCACCTCGCCCCACGGCGCGGTAGACGTCGCTCGTTGAATCTCCCCTCCAGCCGTGTAGGTCATAGAGAGAGAAACGCGGCGTCGCACTACAGGGACAGATGTCTAGCCAACATCAAGAAAGGGGGCCGGCCGTCTGTCCTTCCGTCGAGTCGAGGGTGAGGGTGCGGTGATGCGGTTGTCGGTGAAAAAAAAAAATGGCTAGGGGTCGCTCGAGGCCGGACAATGCACGAGAACTTCGGGGCGTGCAAGATGCGTCGAAGGGATTGTTGGGGTCGGGGTGCGCGGTGGTGAAAATGCTGTAAGCGGCAGGTTGGGTTGATGCCGATGCGAAAGATGAGGGAGAGTTCAGTTCAGTTGGCTTCAGCTCAGTCGAGTGCAGCGGAACGAGACGCGCCCGGCAGATTTGCTACATTCACTTTAGGTAGGAGCGAGCCCCGGTTTTATCGGCTCCGGGTTGGCCTCCCAGCTCAATCACACCAGCACAGCACCTCCGCCGCCACTCTGCATTGCATACCTCCCTTGCCTTGGAATCTGGAGAGTTGCTGGGACAAAGGCAGCAAGCATCCTGGTGCGGTGCTTGCTGCGCGGTGCGATGCATGCACCCTTCTCTATGTGTCCCGGGCCTGTGTTTCCCCTTGTTTGTTGTTGCTGGTTGAGACGGACGGCTCGATCGCATTGAAGCATGCTCGGGTCCAGCCCCAGCCAATCGGCGGACAATCCACGCGCACCAGTCAGCCATCGTGACAAATATTATGTGTGCATCCAACAAAGAGCCATAGCACACAATGGATTTCGTTGTTTGCGTGCATACTGAATACCAGCAGGGTACGGGCTAGAATTGAGTTGGCAAGCTGGTTCCCTCGATGCCATTAGCTTCGAGAGTGCATTTAGTGTTGGAACTGGAGGCTGTTAGCAAACGCCACTTCATCATCATTCGTCAGTGATTCCCAGATGCTCCATCTGACTCAACCTCTTCTCAGCATTGCATAACAGTTGCATCAGATAACGTTTGCAAGCACATGCACTGTGAGAGGGCAGAGCAGTATGGAGAGGAGCTCGCAATGAAACTACCAAACGTTCACATTCGATGGAACCAAGGGGGGCAGGTTGCAGAAGCATTATGTTTTGTTGTTTCTATATATCCGCCGAGAGCCTGAGCGAGAGATAGGAGAGAAAAAATATATCTAAAGACACGCAACCGTCGTCAAATCCGAAACCCACCCAGTTGCATAAATCGGGTTTTATTTTATTTTACTTTGTTTGATTCATCACAAGTCGGTCGCCTGCCCATAGTTAACCATGCTGATCAGGACCTTTTCGGCTTGGAGTGCGGCTCTACCCCCTAGCTGCTCAACAGGTTAGAATACGCTTCTTTCAAGAGAACGATTGCTCAATTTTACAAACATGATCAGCGTGACAGCATCAACTTACAACTTGGTAGGTGCAGCGGCAGATGTCATGGGCCACTGGTAACCGGTAGCATCGCTAAACTTATAACCATAAGAGGCTGTGAAATCATCCAGGACAGCAGGGCCACGCGAGCCTAAATTCGGTCCATTAGCAAAGAACAACACCAAGATCAGGCAGCACGTCAGCCAAACACTTACCGTAGGGGTATTCCATGGGAACGATTTCCTTGTTGTCCTCCAGGTAGTGCAGGAGGGGGGTAAAGATACGCCAGGAGGCGTCCAGCTCGTCATCACGGACGAAGTTGGAGTGATCTCCCTTGAGACAGTCGAGAACCAATGACTCGTATGCCTCGGGGATCTTCAGATCTGAGAAGCGGCGGCGGTATGTGAGATCGAGTTCGGTCACCACGGTCTGCATGCTGAGACCAGGTAGCTTCGAGTTCATCTTGATGTAGACACTCTCGTTGGGCTGAATGCGCATAACAAGCTCATTTCGGGGGATGTCCTTAAAAATACCAGTTGTAACATCCTTGAACTGAATTCTAATCTCGGTCTTCTGCTCATTGAGAGCCTTGCCTGCCTTCAAGATGAAGGGGACGCCATCCCAGCGCTCATTCTTGATGTAAGCCACCATGGCGCAGAAGGTGGGGCATCGGGAGTCTTGAGGAACAGTATCGTCCTCCTTGTACGAGGGCTTGGTGCCATCCAGGGACTTGCCGTACTGGCCGATGATAACATTCTTGGGCTCAATGGGGGAAATGAAGCGAAGGACTCGGACCTTCTCGTCGCGGATGTCTTCAGAGTCAAATGAAATAGGGCGCTCCATCGTTAGGAGGGTGAGGACCTGGAGCAGATGGTTCTGCATGACATCACGGATGATGCCAAATTCGTCAAAGTAACCTCCCCGACCTTCGGTGCCGAAAGGTTCCTTGAATGAAATCTGCACGTTATCGATGTGGTGGCGGTTCCAAGTTGCGCCCAGGAACGAGTTGCCGAAGCGGAGAATAAGGAGATTCTTGACCATTTCCTTGCCAAGGTAGTGATCAATGCGGAAGAGCTCATCCTCCTTCCAGTCGGGCTCAAGAGACTTTTGAAGTTCGCGGGAACTGGCAAGATCCTTTCCGAAGGGCTTCTCGACCTACATCGGAGTGTTAGTCTAGGAGGGACACAGCACACACGTACACCAAATCGCGAGAGAGAGAGAGAGGGAAAAGAGAAAAATGCGCCAATTGAGGCAATATCCCACGTACAACAACACGAGCGATGCCCTTGGTGGGGTAGCAGCATCTCTTCAAGTGCTGGGAGACGATTGTGAAGACACTAGGGGGCAGGGCCATGTAGAAGAGACGATGAGTCTCTGGGCGACCACTCTCGAGCTCCTCGAGGTGCTTGTTAAGGTTCTCGAAGGACTCGTCCTTGTCGTACTGGCCGGAAATGTATGTGCAGAGCTTGCAGAAGTCCTCGAGCTGCTGCTCGATCTCCTTGGTGGGTGTCTTCATGTAAGACTTGATGCGCCGCAGATACTCCTCATGGTCCATCTTGGTGCGGGCATATCCGACGATTCTGACATCCTTGGGGAGGAATTGGTTACGGTACTGCAATCACGTATTAGTTACGCTCATTGTTGTTGCTCAGGTGGCGTGGGACGGGATTCGTGGAAGGTGTGCTCACCAATCCAAAGAGCGCGGGGTACTATGCGAATCCATCAGTCAGCTATTATTCGGCAGCGCGGAGGAGGGGTTGGGAAGATACCTACAGTCTTCTTCTTGGCCAAATCACCAGAGGCTCCGAGGACAACAATGACGGTGTTCTCCTTGAGCTCCACGTTCCTGTTGCAGCGTCCTGGGTCAGTTTCATGGGCACCAAAAAAAAAGTTGGGAGACTGGGCTGCGGCTTCGGAGGGCGCGCTCCTCTGGAAGCGCCGGCGAAGAGTGGGGAGCTTGGGAATACATACGAAGCTTGAGCGTGGTCCATCTTGAGCGATGTCGAGGCTTTGCGAAGCCTGAAAGTCCGACGAGGGAGTGAGGTCAGATGGCAATTCTGTCGGTCGGCCGAGGAAACGAAGAGGTCGCCAGCAAAGAGATGAGAGGAAGGAGACGGGAATCAAGAGGTGGAAAGCTAGGGACGAGGCAAGGTTTCTTATGACGAACTAGCAGCAGCTACGGATATGTAGGTGAGGGGTCGCTTTATAGCGCGCTAGGGGTGTGATTCGCCTGTTTTGGAGGATATCCTGGGTGTTGCAGCCACCGTAGTGCAGCGCAGTGCAGTCTCATCCCCTCCCTCGCCGAGCCCCCGACAGGATGATGTAGTGGATGTACCGTCAGGAGCCAGATTTCCCCACTCAGATTGATCTTTCTGTGTCTAGTCTGCTGGATAATTCCTAGGTAATGGAGGTAAACGCATGACGGATGACGAGGGATGCCGTGGGGTTGGCGCCGACGGTCGAGTCCGTGGCAATTTTCCGCCGAGTCTGCTGGGCTCCCAGGCAAACCATATCGCGGTCGCCATCTACGGATAGCTACCTATGTGGATTACGTTGGCAGACCCTTCAAAAACCCAGGGAAGCTACCAGGAAATTAATCGTTCGTCTAGGATTCTGAACCCCGAATGTTTCATCGATTGGTTGGTTGGCTGAGGGACAGGTACTTCCGGGAGGTCACCGTGGTACTCCTACGCCGCCCATGTGTGTATGGTTGGACACGTCTGTTGGGTCCTCAACGTGTGTAAGGCGAGCATCAGCCATCCAAGGTGCCCAGGAAAGGTACCTTGGGAGACAAAAACCTCGCAGCTTTCGAGTCGAGAAGCTGGCCAACGATTACACCAGTGAGAAAATACCTCTCTGTTAGTCCGCGGAGTAGCCTGCACCGCTCAATGGCCTCGAGGAGACGGAAATCCAACAGCTTCTACGTCTGGTAGGAGCCCGTCCATCGTACATGGATGGCTGCTAGCTGTGTTCTCCAGTATCGGCTGGCAGCCGCCCTGGACCCCCCCGTGGACACTCAAAAGGAATTAGCCTGCCAACCTCAGATCCACTAGCCTTGGGGCCCTGCATTTGTATTCTATGAATCAGCAACTTTGAGCGATGGAACAAGCTTTGTCAACCCCGTGCTAACCGTTGACAAAGATGCGCCGACAAAACAGTCAGAGGCTCTAACAGACCCAGGTACTGGAAGCACCGTCATTCAGAGATCCAGGATCAGCCATGCCAAGTCGTGGATTTATAATTAAGGAAGTGTCGGAAGCAGGCACCTCATAGGGATGGGCTCCTGTTGCTCCGGCACTATCTCCGGTGGGGGGGTCATTGTCAACCTATCTGTAATCTGATTACAAAAACCCTCCCTTATCCCCATCTCGACTGAGCTCTTCGCGGCCCAGTCGGGTGCTGACAAGCAGTTTCTAGACTGGATACCAAGGTCATGCCCAGCCTGGCTTTTTCCGCTTGTGGTATATGGGTTTGCTCAACACTTTTTGTTGTCCCCGTTGGTCTCTGCTCGTCCCGCTAGAGACCAGGGCTCTCTCCTACGGTTGCTCAGGGTTCCAAGCATTCTATTATAGCAGATAGCACCCCCAAATTAAGCTTGCTTTCTCCATGTAATTGTGTTTCTAGCAAACCCACTCGCTGATGCTTCGATTCTTCTATTCATTTTCATGGTGCCGCTAGCAGGATGGCCTTGCTCTCCAACAGTAAGGTAGCTTGAGAGTCGTAGGGTGACACTCTCAAGGTACATCTATCAAAGAGACGACGAATTTTGTTTGTGGCCTTGAACACAGAGCTAAGGGCCAGAAGCAACCTCAAAAAAGGCCAAAAAAGAAACAACATAAAAAGCAAGGTCGCGGATGAATCCAGCAGGTAGCTCTCGCGCTTCAACCCCACGGCTGGGGTGTGACCCGTGGAAAGGGTGGAGGCACCAAGCCCTGTCATCACATGTGTGGCTAGTGCATTTTTTCCAATTTAGAAGGAGGGGTTGCTGCGGCGGTGCTTTCCATTTCCAGCCACACTGCGTTGATGGACGTTTACCTAAGCAGGGATTGCCCTAAGGCGCAACACGTGATGGTGAGGGCACAAATTTTCGTGGTTGGGTCACCGCACATCACAATCGCATCCACACGACCTTCAGCCGGACATCACGACAATCACGACGTGCACTAACAAAACAGGGAAGTCTTTTCGCTAAGACGAACCTCCGACGACATTTCCTTTTAGCCTTTGGATCTTTAGAGAGGGTGGAAGCCAAAAACCTATTACAATGCCTTCCGAAGCTGGACACAGACGTAAGTTGACCCTGTTGAGTCTCGATGAAGCCGTTGGCGATTTCGGCTTCGCACACGATATGTTTACACTCTGGGACAAAAACTAACTTGCCTTGCTTGCATAGTATACGTCAAGTAAGCCCTCCCCTGGCACCAATTCCCATTCATTGCAATCATCGAGTCACCACCGGCATCAAGCGACGATCAAATTGAATGTCGGCGAAGTTGTTTGGAGATGTTGAGATTTGACGAAGGGGCTCGAATATTCTATTCCCAGGAAGCGAACTGACAAGAGGAAAATAGGGGACGCCACCTGAGCTATCAGCGCTCCCGCCACAACACTCACCCTGGCACCAGCCTGATTAAGATCGAGGGTGTTGACGACACCAACGCCGCCAAGTAGGGCTCTCCAATTCCCCTTGACCAGAAACTCAGCGCTGACAGTTTCCCAGCTTCTACCTCGGAAAGAAGATCGCCTACGTCTACCGTGGACAGAAGGAGATCCGCGGCACCAAGATCCGCGTTATCTGGGGCAAGGTTACCCGGCCACACGGTAAGAACGAAAATCCCATCTAGAGACTCGCCCGACAGCAATCATCTAACAAGCTACGATTAGGCAACTCCGGCGTCGTCCGTGCCAAGTTCACCTCTCCTCTCCCCACAAAGTCTTTCGGTGCTTCCGTTCGTGTCATGCTGTACCCCTCATCGATATAAGAGGGCTTGGAATGGAGTTGGTAGTGAGGACGGTTATCTTTTGGCTGCATTGGTCGAGGCAAGGGTAAAGCATACTGCCTTGGTTTGGGGCGATCGATTCAAAAGACGTCAGATCCTCTATGGTTGGCATGCGATGGTGTCCGTCTGATGAAGTGATTCCGAGGGCCTCGGCTTTTCGATTTCGCATGGATGCTATCGACGACAACACCGACTTTCAAAGATACTCGAGGGGCTTTGATATCGGTTTGGGGTAGATGTAATATGGATTTGTGGTGTCTCACGACTAAGGGAAAAGATGAAAAAAATATTTCGGGCTCATCCTATCATCCTAGAGGCTAAAATTGAAGGCTGCGTACACAGGCGCGACCCAAACCATGGCTCTCAAGATATGATGTGATGTGTTTTTGATTGCTATGCGTCTGCCAGTCCTTCATCCGACCTGTTCGAATGTGACCTGGGTTTGGCAGACCTATGTTTTGATATTACGATGATGGCTTCTGGGGATAAGGGATATCCCTATTTGATTTACTGTCTTGAAGCGAATAATTCTTTCTTCACGTCCCATACTTGGATATTGAATTCAATTAAATGCGGCTTATAAGTCACCGAGATTGATGGTTCTCATCGACTCAGACTCGCGTCTACAACGTAAACACCAATATACGTCAAACCCCAACCCTAATCAAGTCGTGCTAAGATTGTCTTGTGTCGTGACCTACACCATCCCACACGAAAGGTAAACTAGGACAGTAGCCCCAAGCTACGGGGCTGGTGGCATTGAAAGTGATGTACTCAAACATTAACCTGCTGTATTTCCAGATCTGTGTGGTATTGCTAAATACTAGTGAGGGCCAATAATTGATAATCACGAGATGATACACTATAAACTGTCAATTCTATCCATTCATATCGCTATGCTACTCTCGTTATTAAAGGAACTACCCTGCTCATGACGGCGCTTCAATTTGACATCTCATTTCTTCTTCACCCAGTTGGCTACCTACTCGGATGAGAGGAAACTGGACGAGTGAGCATGGCAACACGAAGATATCAACTCGACCGGAATGCAATTGTAACAAACGATCCTCCCAACAGCGGACAACGCATCAAGAGAGCCTATCCCCGGAGGACACCGTAAATAGATGCGGCCGTCGTCGTACAGAATTTGGGGTTTCTGGAAGAGCTTATTACCTGGAGAAACAAACAAACGGCAGATACAACCCTTCAACCCGGACACAGATCACAGCGGAGTGTCACGGATTTGAACACTTGGACGCCAATCAAGAGAAAGTTTTGGATGAAACCGGTTTCACTTATATGTACGGCGCGTTCCATCTCGCACCGTCGGCGAGAAAGTATTATTTTAAGGTTCAACCTCGGGAGCAAATCATGCAGGAAAGTAGATAGAATGTAACTCAACGAGAAAGGAATTGTATACGAGACTCTCGGATGGCAAAATCTGCTAGCCTGTTGTCCACCAGTCCCGAGGCGCACACGTCATGTGTTGCTTTAGGTGGTGACTGAGTTTTCCGGGTTCCTTGAATGGATACGAGGTGTGGTAGAGGGGAGGTTGAGTAACTCGATTATTGTTTTCGCATGGCCCGGTAAGACCGGAGCTCCGTCTGACAGGATGGGCAATATGCTGGAATTGAAACGATATGTTTATCTTTCCAGGTTGTACAGTGAACATCTTTGACAGCCACTTTCACTCCGCAACTACCGTGTCACGGCATTCGGGGCGCCAACCGACCTGTTCTACCAACCTCTTCTCTTCTTGCGCCGCTTACTCACCCGGCCGGCGTGGATACTGGGTGGCAATAGTGAGGTGGTGTAGCGGGGAAGTAGCATCTCCCCTCCTGCTCTGTCAGCGAATTCTCCCTGCTTTGGCAGTGCTTATTATGGGCATCCGATCATTCGCATTGATCGCCCTTAATAATGCACAGTCGCTTAAGAGAGAAAAGGGTGTGGATGATCCTCATATAATGGACTATTGAGGAGAAGGGGGGGCG